GACGCAACGATTTTTAGTATGTTTTTATGAAAATTAAAAAAAACAAATGAATGTTAATGGAAAAAGGTTATATTTGTAGAAAAAATGCTTAAATTCTGTGAGCCGTACTAAAAAAATTATAAATAGTAATTTAAAAACTAAAAATCGAAAGTGTCTCTTTTGAGAAAACTCACTTTATAAGTTTAATTTTAACTTTTTTGTTGCTTCTGTTATAGGTATGTTATTTTTTAGCACATATTTAAAAAATTTAAGAAAAAATGAACAAATTTCATATATAGCATAATTTTTAATTTCTTAGTACAATAGATTAAAAAATGTTCCAAAAACACACTTTCTTCGTTGACGTTAAATTTCAAAAAATCATAACTTTCTTCATTTTCATCAAATAAAAAAATAAAAAAAATACGTATTTCCATATTTTTCATATAGATTTCGAAAAAAAAAAATGTTTCGGACAAAAAAAAATTTTCAATGAAAATTTCCCATAGGATGCCCCATATACGACAGTTGTCATTACATAATTTATCACTAGAAAAACACAAAAAAAAGGTTTTTTTTCCACGGTGCAGTTTAGAGGATAAATTTTCCACCATAAAAATTTCAACAGGTCTAATTTATTTATTTAGTTAATTATTTATTTATTTGTGGAGAATATTTATGCGTCCTAATATTACCTGCCTTACTCTCCTACGGATTTTACAGTTTTCAATTTTAAAGAAATTATTTAATGTATTTGTAAAAAATTATTTTAATTTTGTTATAAACTACAAATATTCAGCTTCAATTTTAAACTGAAAACTTTGTTTATATAATGGTTCAAATTTAAATTTTTTAAAGAAAAGCAGGGAAACATCATCCCGTTTATTTATTCTGTTTATTATACCGTAGGGGGGTTAAAGTTCCACTAGTTTGAATGGGGTGCATGATTAACCTATAAAATTAATTAGTTAGAATTTTAATTTAAATGAATTTTCTTTTAGATTAATTTTTTATTTTTTAAATTAGTATTTAGACAAAATTTCATTTTAAACGTATTTTTTTTACATAATATAATATTTCTAGGTACTAAATTTCTATTTGAAAGAATTTTAATTTATATAGCACAATTTTCTTTTTACGGAATTTTAAAGGATTCGAATATTTAAATGGCAAAATTTCTAATGCATCGAATTTTCATTTGTCTGAATTTTTATTTACACTTTATTATTATTTATTTTTATTTATTTGATAGAATAATTTTGTTTTCTAGCTTTAGGTTATGTCAAAGGGTTCTTTCACAAACTGAATAACTTAAATAATAATTATTAATTTTTTTTTTTCTTCTTAAATTTGTTTTCATATCATAGATGCATCATATACCAAAGTTATGACGCATAATATACATATATGCGATTGTGAAACAAGTTGGTGCGAGAAAAAAAAAGAACATATGCAGAGCGGCTCATAGGTAATAACCCTCTGTGAATTGCTTTGAATATGTTCAACAGGAGTCTTGTATCATAATTTTTTTTTTAGAATTTTTCCGTCATAAAATTGAATAATAAATTTTGAAAATACTGTTATTTTTTGTAAAAATAAAATTCTTTCAAATAAAAATTCAAACCAATGAATATTATGGAACAATCATGAGCCTAAAAAATTATTCGGTTCAATATAAATTCTTTTTTTTTAAATTTGGTTAAATAAAAAAAAGCACTACAATATTAGAAAACACTTTTTTCTTGACCATAACATATACAAAACCTCTCAAAAATTCGCAGTATCCTCTGACAAGTCGAGGCGAAAGCATTTTAAAGATTTTTCTCTAATTCGTAAAAATTATTGTATCACATCAACCACTGTTTAAAATGTGAAAAATTAATAATAGAATTATTGAAAATGTCTGTGTTGTGCAGTGTTACAGTTCATTGGATAAAATTTAAACTTTACTTCGATACAATCACTTCTATTTACATCATTTTGATATTTTCTTCAAACATGTGATTGTAAGTAAATTTGTTGACTTGAACATTATTGTTTTAATAATTTGTCTAGTAAATTATACATGATACTACTTTTAAATTTTGCTTTCATTTTATCTTCATTATTAATATAACACAGGCCAACAAAATTAGAAAATTTTTTTGGTGCGGCAAAAGTCAAAGCTGTTTCTGATATAGGTTTTTCATGCTGAAGACGAATCCGTAAACAAAAAGTTTCTATCAGCTCTAGTTTTTGGAAATTTTTTTTTTTTCCAAAAACGGGTTAAAAATGTCAAGAAATCGCGTCAAACTTTAAGTACCTCTAGCACTGAAAAAAAGATCGTAGAACCTTCCACTTGGGCTTAAATTGAAGCTTAATGTTTTAACTATAATCCCCAAAAAATCACTTTTCTTACACCATGCGATCTCAAATTCATTTGTAATCCATTTTTGAGTTGCAAAAATTAATTTTGGAATAATTTGAGTGCATACCTCCAGCGATAAAATGAAAGGTCATATAACCTTTTTTTAGGCTTAAACTAAAATACACTGAGAAAACTGGAGGTTTGAAGTGAACATTTGGAGGTATAAAGAGTTTATATTTGAGAGATAGCTATTGGAAAATAATCTAAATAATGAAATACACCATTCATAGATATTTAAGCCATTTCTTCTGAAGGGAAAGTAAGTTTATGGCAGAGGGACAAATTATTATCAATCTTGAGAAATCCCTTTCTTATCGTACGCGGAACTGCGCGAAACGATTAAATATGGCAACCTAACCCCAAAATTCAGTCTATTCGATTGAGAAACAAATACGTTCGCGCATCACTTTCTGCGCAGCATTTAACCCTCTAAATATAATAAAACAAAATATATAAGCAGATTTCTTTTAGCTATTCAAAAATCATTCTAGAAGGACTATTAAACTCTCTTTAATAATAAAGGGAATCATACACTTTTTGAACCTCTGAATTTGAACCTCCAGTTTTCTCAGTGTAGACTACAATCCCTGAAAATTAATTTCCAGCACCTTAACCTCAAAGTCATTGGTAATAAATTGTTTAAATTTCAACAAAGGAAGCTATTTTAAGGCGTACTTGCGTTTGCGAAGACGAAAAATAGGCACCTTTTTACAATTTTTTTACACAGCCATTTTAATATAAATTTAAAAACTTTTTTTATTCCTAAAAATACTTGATTAAAGCTACAAAAAGCAATAATTGTTTTGTTTTTTCATTGATAATTACGATTTGTAGAGGGCGCCAAAGTAGAGGTCTAAAATTTGTAAGATTTTGCGGTACCCGCTGTAGAGCCGCCCCTGACAGTCCAAAATCAAAAAACCAAAAATTTTTTTTACTATACATGAGTAGCCAGTGGACTAATTATCAAAGTTTTGAAAATTAAATTTTTTTCTATTTTTTTATAACCAAAAACTGTAAAAAAACCAGTGATTTTTGAAATTTTTACTTTAAAAGGACGCCATTTTGTTTTTTTTAGATTTTTTTTTAATTCCATGATATTAGTCCATTGGGTAATCAATAATCATGTACACTAAAAAAAAATTTTGGTTTTTTGATTTTGGACTGTCAGGGGCGGCTCTACAGGGGGTACCGCAAAATCTTACAAATTTTAGACCTCTACTTTGGCGCCCTCTACAAATCGTAATTATCAATGAAAAAACAAAACAATTTTTGCTTTTTGTAGCTTTAGTCAAGTATTTTTAGGAATAAAAAAAGTTTTTAAATTTATATTAAAATGGCTGTGTAAAAAAATTGTAAAAAGGTGCCTATTTTTCGTCTTCGCAAACGCAAGTACGCCTTAACAATGGTTACCAACAATTTTGAGTTTCTTTTTGCATCAATATAATTTTTAGGGATTGTAGTCTCTAAAGTTTAAATTTTAGTTTAAACCCAAATAAAAGGTTTAATGGCCATTTATTTCATTGCTAGAGGTACGCGCTTAAACTTTTCCAAAATTAATTTTTGCGATTCAAAAATGTAATAAAAATGACTTTGAGGTCATGGTACCAGAAAGGTGTTTTTTGGGAATTGTAATAAAAACATTAAGCTTCAATTTAATCCCAAGTGGAAGGTTTTACGACCTTTTGTTTAAGTGCTAGAGGTACTTAAAGTTTGACAAAAAACGCGAATTCTTGGAATTTTAAAACCGTTTTTATCAAAAATTAGAACTGATAGGAATTTTTCGTCTACGGATTCGTGTTCAGCATGAAAAAATCTAGCAGAAACAGCTTTGACATCTGTCACACCAAAATCAGTGATGACCTGTGATACAATTTATAAAATTTGTTTAATTCAATTAATTCTTTTTATAATACTACTATTAATTTCTTTTATTTTAATTTTATTTCATATTTTATACTAATTTCATACATGTTTTACAATTCATTCAAATTATTTACAAAACATAAAATAAATAATCATTTAAGATGTATACTGCATTCTAGAAGGGAAAGTGGGCTAAAATAGCACACTTCCTTTCGAATGGAATCTAAACTTCTTTTTTTTTTTCTTTTCTTTATCGTTTGAACGTTTTCATAGTAAAGTACTTCTCCCGAGTTTTTTTTTTAGTCGCTTGAAGCATTTGCATACATTGCGTTTCATAAAAGTTTTGTAACGATGTAAGTTTCAAGATACAGACAAACTACAATTTAAACTTTTCGATAGTCAAATGTCCTTTATTCTTGAAAGTTTCAAGTTTCATATATTAAATAAAGATTTCTGAATTGTTGGCAAGTCAAATGTTTCGTTAATATATTCGCGTTGTCTTTGATGCATATATAATGAAAACGATGATATATTCAAGGAATCTGTATGTATATTTTTTTCAAGTGAATTTTAAAAAAATAATAAAAAAAAAGAACTAACCGTTTAGTTTTTGAGATTATTTACTATTTTCTGTTTTTGTTCAAATGAACGAAAAATTTATTTCCTACTTTTTAGCTTCTTTGATTATAAAATAATAACTTTTTTTTTTTTGTGAAATTTGTGTCTTATGAAAATTCTTTTATGTTTATAGACCATGCGTGATTCGTTCGGGAACAAGAGAAGTGCACAATAAATTGGAGAAAAATAGAAGAGCACATCTTAAAGAATGTTTTGAGATGTTAAAAAAGCAACTTCCTTCACAAGATGAAAAAAAGTCATCGAACCTTTCCATTCTTCACGCTGCGATCAGACACATACAGGTATCCTATTATGTATTATTATTATTATTTTTTACTTTGTAACAGTTTAACATTTTAACCATATATCCCGGCTTTTGTTAACTTTAAACGGTGATTTTGAGATAAAAAAAAACTATTTATAATTTTTTTTTTTCACATTATTTGAAGTAATATTGCAATTTTTAAAATTTATTATTTGTGTCATGTTATATTTTGATCAAGAATTTGTCTACCATCAACCTGGGCTATTATTATTTTTATTATTATTAATATTATTATTATTATTATTCAAATCTTTATTGATGTTATGTTTTAACCTAAAAGTGCAGAAAAGACGATTTTTGGCCATATTTGAGAATGTGTAACATTAGGTGAATGTTTCAATATTCGTCTATCAAATAATGCTTCAAAAAATTCAAATGACGATAACTCAAAACCTCCATAAAGTTGGCTTCAACGCTCAGCGCCGCGAAAATTGTTTTTCTCAGGATCAAAAATTTCAAATTATTTTTTCAAAAGTTTTTCATTTCAAATAATGCCTTTAAAAATACTTCTAAAAGGTATTATGTGGACCCAAAATCTTTTTAAAAAATAATTTGATATTTTTGGTCCCGTGAAAAATAATTTTCGATGCTGAGCTTCGACGCCAACTTCATGGATGTAACTCAGAGGCAAATAAAGATTTTTTTGAAGTTTCAAAATGCATTTTTAAGGGTAAGAGTAGTACTTTCCGATGTTGATGTTACACGACCTCAAATATGGCAAAAAAAAAATATTTTCTACAGTTTTAGGTTAGAATATCTCGAAAACCTGACGTGCCGAGTTAATTCTGAGGTTAGATTCGGATTCAGCAAGTTAAAATACCTTGAAAAAGTATAGTCTGGTTTTTGGTTCTAGAGGAAGCAAAAATTTTTATATTTTTGCGTTAAAAAAATTTTTTTTACTTCGAGGTTATGTTCCGGTTACCATTTCGCCTTAATGAAAATTCTAAACTTTAGAGAAAAACGTTTTAAACTATTCAGTTTTATCCCTTTTGTAACAGAATAGCCCCGATTGACGGTATATAAAATTTCAAATAGAGAAAAATATTTTTAAAAAAACCTGAATCATTGCAAGATTTTTAAATTATAAATACAGTCTTTTGTGTTTTTGTGAGAAAATCATCGTATTTTTTCCTAAGGCATTTTTATTATTAAATTAAAAAATTACACAACGACCTAATTCGTGATAAATAGAATGTATATTTATTCATGATGGAATAAAAAGATATTAAATAAATTGAAACATATATATATATATGCGAAAGATGTTGCGTGAGAAAAGTAGGCATTTGAAGAGACTACCATAATTTGTAATGATTATAGAAAGGCTTTACATATAAAGGTTCTTGACTTGTAAATGTATATATATAAATATATTTAGATCACACGTTTTACGTAATACGAATCATTGCCTCTAATCATAACTCCATATCTTCAATGTACCAAAGTGGCTTAAGAAAGTTGATCTTTCACCTCTTTAGATGTTGAGGTGCAGTAATTTAATTTAAAAAAAATTTTTTTTTTCTATTTTCTCGAGTGCAAAAGTTTAAATTTTTTTTCTAAATGATCTTTTTTATATTATATAACTTCATATAACAATGATCGAGATTCGTGTAGAACTAAAAGTTTTTCTATCCTGACATAAAATACAGGAGTAAATTTTTTTTTATATTCAAAAGTTCAATGCTATACTTTAACTTAATTGATTTTTTTTGTCAATATTATCTATATTTATTGAAAAATATTGCTGTTTTAAAAATAGTAATCTCTTATTTTTTTAACACCAAGATCGTTTATGAGTAAAGTTCTACTATTAATTTAATTGTTAATTATTTAATTAGATACTTAATTATTTAATCGAAATTAATTATTCAATAGTTATTTAATTATTTACTTAATTAGTTAATAGATTAGTAAATTCATTACATTAAGCAATACCTGAAATTATAATTTCAAATTTAATGATAAATTTGTTAAAAAAAAGTAAATAAAGCCTCAAATCGATGTCAAAGTTACTATTAATAACGAAACTTCTTTTTTTAATTGACAGTTTTTATTTTTAAATTTTAATATTTTTCATTGTATAGATTTATGTAATTCCTATTCTACAATTTATTTAATCTAGATAAGCTTAACATGAGTGAAAAATCTATGAAAAAATTTACATAATTTTAATATTTCATTATTTTCATTTACTAATCTAGCAAATATTTTGGAATCTTTTTTTTTTTTTTTTTTTTTTTTTTTTTTTTTTGCGAAATTCAGTCACAGTTATATTTGGTTTTATAATTTACGAAAATAGTAGAAGCGTAATAGTAATTAATTAAAAAAATTATTTATTTATTAATAAATTCAATTTTTATGAAAGTAACATTTTTTCGCCATATTGTATTCGCCATTTTGAACTTTAAAAATCTGATGTCAGATTCGTAATCAGCGACCCCGAAAACCCCCGAGTAGAAAGCTTCAAGCGAATTCGATGAATTAAAAAAAACCGCCATTTTTAATTTGGAAAATCTAACTTTAGATTCAAAATAGTAATTTTCGAATTTTTCTTTCAAATTAAAAATTAAATTAGATTTAAAAAAAATACATTTTAAAATAATTATAAAATTGTATAAAATAACAAAAAAATTAATGTATTTTATCGAAAATTATAAAATGTGAGATTAAATTTATAAAATTTGAAAAAGAAAAAAATTAATTATAAAATTAAAAAGAGTATTTTTTTTACTATACTGAAATTAAATTTGATGATAAAATATTCAGAATAATGTGCTATTATTCAGTAGCATTTTAACACACTTCATATATTTATAAGAGAAGCGCAAAGTATCATTATTCAAATTGTATTTCTTTTTAAAATCATCATCATCATCATCATCATGAAAAATAATAATGAGAATCTGTTCGCGTGTGCTTATAGACAGAACGGGCACTGCCTTTTACTATACATGTATATAATAATATACATACTGCTGAGAGTATAAAGAGAGAGAGAGAGAATATCCATTCTCATCGCGTACACACGTGAAGATTGTGTGCGTAAGTCTGTGCGCGTGCATCAAGTCCGCAGACGCGCCCCGCGAAGGTCGTCTACTCCTTCCCCTCTTCACCCTTTCCTTTCCCCCGCAGTATATCCCCACTTCGTTTATCTCGCCTTTTCCCTCCCCACCATTTTCCCAATTAAACGCACATGCTGTCTCTCGTTGGCCATCCTTTTCCCTCCCTCTCTCTTTCTCTCTGTCTTCGATTTCTCGGTTTTTAAATAAATATTTTTTTATTTTACACCTTCTTTTTTTCTTGCATTTTTTTTACAGAAATTTTTTTTTACGACTAAATAAAAAAAATAATTTAATGAAAATTTTAAAAAAATTTAGAAAAATAAACATTTTTAATATTTGGTAAATTGTAACATTTCTTTTTTTGTTTGCAAATAATTTTTACTCAGGTGATTTTTTTTCGCAAGTTTACGTTTGAAAAATAATGAACGAACCACGTGATTGTACGGCCATCGTCGTTGCTCTGCATGGCACGTATGTATGTTTAGGAAAGTTATCGATGTATGAGCCACTTTACACGCTCTCAAAATAATATGCTGGCTCTTTATGTATTTGAGAAACCATTTCTTTACCGCAAACGCAATTTCCATATTATTGATATTGATGTTTAAAACAGCAAAATGTTACATATTACGATCAATTCTTCCAAAATACTATACTTTTTGTGGATAGAAAAAAAATATATATCTAAATTGTGTTTTTTAATTAAGAAATAACGCTTGTTTTATCGATGAGAGAAAAATAATTTTTTTTCTTTAATTTAATGATATTTTTTAATAACTATTTTCTTCTCGTTTTAAGAGGACAGAAATTATAGAACGATTCTATTACTTTTCGTCCACATTAAGAATAATATCTATTGAGTTTTTTCTAGTTATTTTTTTTTTTTTTTTGACGTTGGTACTATTGGGGTCTCTTCCACTGTAATACGCCATCTGGTGCGATTTTTTCGAACTATTACCAATGAATCGCGTCCACCAATCAGAATCGCTTATAACTTTAGTGGCGAAAAATGTAACTACTAAACATACCAAAGCAGAACAATTTCGCGAAAGTTGTTCTTGCACGTAGTTCATGAAATAAAAAAGAACACAAATATGTCTCTGTTTCTTTCTCACGCATCTCTTTCGCGAAGCTATTATACGTTGATACGAGTAGATCAAAAACGTAGACGTCACCAAAAAAGGTTTTTTTTATTTACACAATCGAAAAATTTTTTCTCTATTTTTGAATAAAAATTGACGCTAACTTTACGTCAGTCAGTCATTAATATCGCGAATCACATATTTCGTATATAGAACTTTTTCTATACATAATTTACTTAAAAAACCGTGACAAAATATAAAATACTTTTTTTTTAATATACTGAACGATTGGCAATATTTTATTACTATATTAAGTAATTTAAAATAAAGTTATAAATATTTTGACGTGTTTTTTCCAGTCAAAAACATAACCTATAAATCTTGAATTACACTTCAATTCAAAGTATAAATATAATATATTATATAATATTATAATTAATATAACATAAAACAAATATGCTATAGTCTAAATTATATTTATGTAATTTTCCTTAACGTAATGGATTAACTGCGTCTCTCGTTGTTATTCAAGCAAAGTTTCTCTTTCAAACAATTTATGTATACAGTAAGAAAAGTACCATGGTAGTCATAGGAAAGCATGCGTTACGCATAAGTTTGTCTCACTCGCACTCATGGGCTGTGACTACCATGGAACTTTTCTTACTGTATATATATGTATATTATGCCACACTAGATTTATGTGACAACAGGAAAACTTTTTTTTCTCGCACATATTGGCGATAAAATTTTTTCTCCTTTAAAAAAAAATTGTTTTCTTTTTTCCGTAATAAAAATATGAATTCTAAATAATCAAGATCTAAATTATATTGTAG